AAAAAATCAAATATTTTCAGTGAAAACATTTAAGGTGCACATATATTTTGAGTCCTTGCTTTAACCAACTTTTTGAACTAACTAACAAATGGTCCTAATTATGTGGGGTATGTAAGACGGTCTCCACCACACTCTAACATCATTCCCAAAGGCTCCATGCCACTTTCTTCCGCTCTCTGACCATCCCTGAAAGAGTAAAGGAGCAAACTGAAAACCACATGTATCCAATAATGAGGTATCCATCAAAGGAAGGAATGCGAGATTTTTTGTTTTTTTTGAGACGAAGTCTCACTCTGTCACCCAGGCTAGAGTGCAGTCCGCATGATCTCAGCTCACTGCAACCTCTACCTTCCTGGCTCAAGCAATCCTCCCACCTCAGCCTCCCAAAAAGCTAGGATCACAGGCACACGCCACCATGCTGGGCTATTTTTATATTTTTTTTTGAGAGATGGGGTTTTGCCACGTTGCCCAGGCTGGTCCCAACCTGCTGGGCTCAAGCAATCCACACACCTTGGCCTCCCAAAGTGCTGGCATTACAGATGTGAGTCATCACACCCAGCCAGGATTTAATTACTGCGTTCAACAAATCCTTATTGAGGACCTGCTACATGCTAGACACTGCTCTGAACTCTTAAAGAGTCATCAATAAACAAAACAGACAAAAAGCCTACCCTCATAGAAGCTATGTAATACTGTTGTTTGGGGGTTATGGGGAAGAGACAATAAACACAATCAGGAAATTAAACAGTACAACAGAAGGTGACAAATGCTATAAAGAAAACAGAGCAAAGTACAAGAATCAGACGTTAGGGGAGTGCAGTTTTAAATAAAATAGGCAGATCTTTTTAAGAAAGTGACATTTAAAAAGCAAAGACTGGACGGAGACAACAAGCCATGCATGTATCTTCAGAAAAAACACTGATCTAAGGAGGGGTAGCAGCCAGTATAAAACACAGCTCTGTTTCCTCCATGGCACTTGTCACCTTCTTGCCAGGAGAAGTCAACAGTATATAATTTCCTCATTGATTGTGTTTATTATCTCTTCCCCTTGCCCTCAAACACACACTATTACATAACTTCTATCAGGGCAGCGCTTTTCGTCTGTTTTGTTTATTGATGGAGCCTAAGTGTTTAGCGCAGTGTCTGACATGTAGCTGCCCCTAGGAAAGCCAATGGGGCCAGAGGAAATAAGCAGAGGGAAGATAGTAGCTAACCTTAGAGGTAAGGGGGAATGGGGAGAGTGGAAGTGTCCAGATTCTGTATGGCCTTAAGGACATAAGAACTTCAGCTTTCACTCTGCATAGAGAAAGTCACTGTAGCATTCTGAGAAGATAAGTGATATGATCCAGTTGTTCTGTTGGAAAGACTGTAGAGAGTGCAGAGGCAGCAAGATCAGTTAGGAGGTTAATTACAGAAATCAAGGTAAGAGATAAGAATGGCTTGGACCAGGCTGGTGAGCAGTGGAGGCAATAAGTACTGACTGGATTCTGGTTATATTTTCAAGATAAGACAGAGCACAGAATGCCAAGTGTGAAAGAAGTAAGTCAGGGATGACTCCAACGTTTTTTTACCTGAATGTTTGATGGAAACATCAAACATGTTTGAGGAAAAATATGGAAGTTTAGTTGGAGCTGACCACTGCACATCCAAGTGGATAGGCCTAACAGGATATGTGGAAAGTCTGGGTTGGAAATATAAATATGGGAGCCATCAGCATATAGGTATTTAAAACCATGACACTGGATAAGACTGTCAGAGGAATATAAAAAGAAAAGTGAAACAAGGACTGAGCAAGTCAACTTTAAGAGTAGAAGACGTTAAGACAGAACTAACAAAGCAATTAGTAATGAGACAGCCCAAAAAGCAGAATACCTGGAAGAAGAGCACAAACAAATTAAATTTAGTGTATAAATCACTTTGCTGAAACCATATTTAAGTTATGGAACAGTTTTAATCATCCTGTAGTAGTTAGGATGACTCGTAAAATACTAAATCACAACTTTTTTTAGGTTATGTCTTATACATTTCCTAAGAATATTATTTTTCCTATCAGAGTATCGACAAAACTATTGTTAGAATTAAAAGTATATCTTGCCTATTTTAACATAAAACCAATTAAAAGCTTGTACCATTTTTTAAAAAAGAAAAATAGCCTAGTTTTCACTGCTACCTCTGTCAAAGACCAAAAACACATTCAAGCACAACAGCTTGGCACAGTTGTAAACTGTCATTATTTCTCTTTCTCTAGACCTCAGACACAGGTTATATTAAACTCCTTAGTTCACAGCACATAACGTTCTTCCCCTTACTGATTAATTTTCTATTTACAGAGGTGGGGAAAAGGTTTACAATCTCATCTAGACCAATGTTTTCCCGGTGATTTGAAAATAAATTACATTTTTTGATTGGGACACTCAAAGTCATGTTCACAGGAACTGAAAGAGGAAGCAATGAAATGCAATTCTCTTTGGGCATGAGTGATCATCAATGTCACTTCTAGAGAAATAGTTACTTGCTTCTATCCTCTAAGTATACTCTGGATTTACCTTCAAAGTCACTAAAAACAGTACAGAGAACAAGCAAGTCATAAGGTGTATTCTCAAATATATGAATGATCTTGCAAAGCATGATTTTTCTCATTTCCTTATTACATAGTAGGTCAGATTCCCAAGAGAACCAAAACCTTTCTAGAACCATTTAAGTTCATCAACCATTTTATATTTTAACACAGCATTGGAGATCTTTTAGGTTAAAACTTCATTTGCTATAAAAATTATAAGCACACAATTAAAAACACATCTTCCATTCAAGTTAAGAACTTAATTTACACATATTAAATGTATAAGACACATTCAACTTTTATTTAAAAAAATTATGATTCAGTATTCTACGTGTCATCTTAACCATGACAGGCTGATTAAGAACTTTTAACCATAACTTAAAACTCAAGTTAAGAACTTAACAACAGCGACAATCTTAATATGGGTTCTTTAGAAGTTAAGCCTCAAAAAGGTTTTCACTTTTTAGGCTCTTTTAAAAAGTCATATTGACTGATATTAAAAATATAATTATTAAAACGATCTCCCTACCAAAAGCAGATTAAAGCCTATAAACTAGAAGGGAGCCTGAAGTGAGGCATTTTTAGGGAAAAACACAATATCAAACAGAAGAGACTACTGGTATTAAAAGAACATATAAAGATCTAAATTGGAAACAAAATCGTAAATGTCTCTTCATAATGCTGACCCTGAATCATTAAGAGTTAAATACTTGATATTCTTTATAATTTTCAAGTATTAAGAAAATTTTTCAATATATCTTGTTATATTTTCAAATTCATTATCAGCCTCAAGTAAATTAAGTAGAACACCTTATTCTCTAAGCTCACTAGCCAAGGTATTGTTATGTCTGCTGAAGGCTAAAAAATTAGAAGAGACATTTGAAACTCAATGTTGAGGTGGAAGGGGAACTCATCAACAGACCCAGCTATTTCAGGTTCGATCCCTAAAATAAAGACAAAAGGAAAAAGGGGGAGAAAAAAAAAGAGCCTTTTTTAACAGGCAACACATCAAATATGAAAGTCTACTGCAAGGCATGTCTACACAAAATACTCAAAGAGTAATTTAGTGTTATTCCTGGGAACATTATCCCCAGTCTCACCAGCAATTGCTCTGGACCAAACTGGAGACACTGTTGCCATTAGCCTGCTAGGTAAGTAAGCTAAGGAAAACAAATGCAACATCATTTAGCAAAAATTCTAACTTTAAGTTAACTCCTATACAATTCAGAACGTTTAGTTCACCGGAAGATGCTTATCTTCGGCCAGGCTGGCTATGGGTGTCTACATTTATCAAGGCTTTCCACAAAGTCATCTCAAAACACACACACACACACACACACACACACACACAACTTAACAGTTAACTTCAACTGTAGCTCTTTAAGCACTACTAACTTAAATAGCTGCTAAGGAATTCGTCTGACAACACAGTTCTGAATTTAGATTCCCCCTTCCTCCCAGAAGAAAGAAGGGCCAACATCGAACAGCTTACTTTTAACCTAACCTAGTCAAGGTGCAGCTGGGCCAGGCTGGGACGCCGCTGCCCGCGTCCGGGGCTGCCCACTTCTAGTGCACCCAGCGCCTTCACCGCCAGCGTGCGGGGCTGCACATCCCACACCAGGCGTATGGCTGAGAGCCAGACGACTTCTCTAGACTTCCCGTGTAGTTTTCCGGCGAGGTCCCCAAGGCCAAAAGTCTCACTGTTGGAAACTGAAGGGGTCAGGCCGAATCGCTAAGAAGACACACCCCTCGGGGAGAGGAAGGGATAACTTCGCCGGTGTCGAGGGTGGTCCACGGATTTTTCCAAAGTCCCCGCAACGCTGCTTTCCGTGCCCAACCGCCTCCCGCCCTGACCTAGGGACTCGCAAAGGGCAGCGGGAGGGGCGCCGGGGAAGGGGGCGAGCGCCCAGGCCGCCGGAGGCAGCGGCGAAGACTGGAATTCCAGCATGGCGTAAGCGTGGCCCAGCTCCGGCCCGGGGACGCCGCCGGAGACGCGCTGCCTCCGTCCACCGACCGAGGAGGCGGTAATCCGCCTTCCCTCCTGGGGCCCTCAGGCCTGGCTAAAAATAGGTGCCTCGGTCACCCCAGGGCCCTCTTGGGTCGACCTCGCCTTCGGGAGAGTCGTCCTTGGGGAGAAGGGGGGTATCCCTCGGCCGCGACCCGGGCGCCGCGACAGAGCCGGGGTCGGACCCGGGGCGGCCCCGCGAGGACTAGGGGGTCCCTCCGAGCCCGCCCCCTGCGGCGTCCCGGCCCCAGCAGGAGCCCGGCGGCGGCGACCGGATGCCCGAGGCCTACACAGCGGGCGGCGTCCGGACCCCGCGGCCGCGCCCCCCCGCCCGGCGCGGCCCTCCCGCCTGCCCCAGGACCCCGCGGCCGGCGCCGCCCCCCCCCGCCCTCCCTGCCGCCGGTGCCCGGCCCGGTGCGGCCTGCTCTCCCTCACCCTGTGCGGCCGGGGAAGGAGACCGGGAAGACGCGGCGGCGCCGGCACTACAGCCCGGGCCGCCCGCTCCGAGGCGCCGCCGCCGCCGCCGCCGCAGTCGTTCAGGTGCCGTCGCGCCGCTCGGCAGGAAACGGGCGGCTTCGGGGCGGGGCGGCCCCGGCACGTCCCGGCGTCTGGGCAGGCGGCGCCGGGAGACCGGCCCCTTAAAGGGACAGACGCCGGCCCGCCTCTGCCTTCGCGCGCCTGCCCACACGCTCCGGTACCCGCAGCTCGCGGCTGGCCGGCTCGGGATTCCGGGCTTTCCTCCCGAGACCGCGTCCCCCAGCTGGGCCGAAGGTGGACGTTCAGGAGCTGGAGGCTCCGCGGAATCTCCTGCGTTCAGTAGCCCCGCTCTCCCCTGTCCCGGAGATTGGTCTCGTCTTGCGCGGCCCTCCTTCCAGGGCACCACCTGGCTCCCCACGCCTTTCTTTTAACTTAAGCAAACGGCACTAGATTTACCCCCTGAAATTACTGGAAAACGACATCCCCCGTCCCTTTCTCCAGGGGATCTCTGAAATCTCCTTCGGGCAACGCTAGCTACAAACGGAGAAAGAAATTAGAAAGCGACCCACATAATGGTCGGGCACGGTGGTTCACGCCTGTAATCCCAGTACTTTGGGAGGCCGAGGCAGGCGAATCACCTGAGGTCAGGAGTTCGAGACCAGCCTGGCCAACATGTAGTGAAACTCCGTCTCTACAAAAAAAAAAATACAAAAAATTAGCTGGGCATAGTGGCGCACGCCTGTAGCCCCAGCTACTTGGGAAGCTGAGGCAGGAGAATCGCATGAATCCAGGAGGCGGAGGTTGCAGTGAGCCGAGATCTCACCTCTGCGCTCCAGCCTGGGCGAGTGAGTGAGACTCTCTGTTTCTCTCAAAAAAAAAAAAAAAGGAAAGAAAAGACAGCGACCCAAATAAATTGTGTGCAAATATTATGAAAGTGTTGTGTCTGCCAGCTGGTAGCCATTCATGAAGCCGAGGTAAAAATTTAGAAACTGCTGCGCGAGGATGGATGGGCCCGGATCTCTGCTTATTCGTTTAGCTCTTTGCTGAAAGGATGGCAGCGATCCTCCCGGTCCACTGGCAAGTGAGTTTTGTGTGGATTGTTTATAGATGATCAATCTCTCACAGGAGGCCAGGCACTGCCCCACTACATGTACAAAACACTCCAAGCTCTCTGCAAATGTTATGAAGGTTTAAAATAATCCAAACGCTTCCAGACTGCATAGAGATACAAAAAATTAGGACTCACCACCACAACCACCTCGTCCTACATCTGGCAAAGTCAGAACAGAAGCAATTAAGAAATGAACAGCAGAACCGTTTCTACACCAACAGAATTTCCTGCACATGGGCTGGTTAAAAGTATCTATACTTTTTATTCTAATCATTTCTAAGTTTTCTAGAGCACCTCCAAAATACAAATGAAAACTGCGCGCTGTATAAGTGGCCTGAGATATTGAGAATTCTGCCAGTCTTCAGTCACCGTTCTCCACAGATGCATTCTGTCTTATTTTAACTCCAGAGGCGTCCTCTTTTTCCTTTCTCATTAGGATTACTGTGCCCCTCAGCGGCTCCAGAGCCCTCAAAGCAATCTATCTCTGAAGTACTGGCTATCTTCTGAGCGTGTACCAGAAGATCCAGCTTTGTTGAAAAGCGAAGCCATTAGTCCCTTAATACAAAGGGGAAGTGTATCATTTATATAATGGAGTTTAAGGGCTCTTGATTAGCTTACAGACAACCATATAATTTCCTCAGGTTAGTACTAAAGCAGGTTTTAGATTAGAATTTAAAAAATCATATTTTCCTGACCAGTAAAACCGCAATGTCAGTTACAGGCAATAATATTTCGGTGCACTTGTAAGACAGACAGACAGTAAGTGGAGTTTAGGATTTTCTCAAAATATACTGCTGCCTATATTAAAGGATGACTTTGTATCACCTATTTCAGCTTTTCTGGCGTTTGAACTTTGACTATTGAAAGGGAAGTGGTTGAATGCTTTATTTTTTATAAGCTTTCTATTTATTCACAAAACAAAAAGATTTACTAGAGGCTGGGCGCAGTGGTTCACACCTGTAATCCCAGCATGTTGGGAGGCCGAGCTGGGCGGATCACCCGACGTCAGGAGTTCGAGACCACCCTGGCCAACATGGCGAAACCCCAACTCTACTAAAATACAAAACTTAGCCGGGCATGGTGGTGCACGCCTGTAATCCCAGCGACTAGGGAGACTGAGGCAGGAGAATCGCTTGAACCTGGGAGGTGGAGGTTGCAGTAAACAGATATGGCACCACCACACTCCAGCCTGGGCAACAGAGCAAGACTGTCTTAAAAAAAAAAAAAAAGATTCACTAGAAATACTATGCATCTCTAGTATTATGCATAATAGGCACGCCCTATTATGAATTAACACCAACCCTCCAGGTTTTGAAGTGTAGTATAATATAATGTAATTAGCTATAGTTAACACATATAATTAACCTAAGATATAATTAACTTTGCGTGCTATTTACTACCCTCCAATGCCACTGAAACCAACAACTTGTTAAAAAGGATTAGCAACACACCCAGCATCTGAGGTACCTCTAGTTGCAACAACTAATAAATTAAATTTTATTGAAAACTATAAAGTCTAAATACTGTTACCTAAAGAGCTCACATCCTTTTTTTTCTTAATTTAACAAAATTGCAATTTACTGAAGACTGTCTTCTGAATTTTTTGCATGTAACAACGTTTTCTTCTGAGTTTGGGGAAAGTTTTAGAGACAAATAATACATTCCTGTCCTGCAGATGGAGGACAAGCTGGCTATTCCTGTTTTGACTAGGGTAGTTTTCCCATAAGTGGTGACTTGTGTAGAGATTTGAGTAATACGTGAGTAACAGATTATATCTCTTGACTCCACAAGATCAGGGATGGCAGAAATGAAAGTATGATGGAAGCAACTGGAGGATTCCAGGTCCACTTTCACGCAAGTAATGGAGAGGGAAGGTTCATCAAAACTTCTTCAGCTGCAGATCTTGAGGTCATCAGCTATTCTAGCAAAGTATCTGTCACAGAAAGGTGCTTCATAAAGGGCTGCACTGTGCTCCTTTGACCTGTGTCTTCAAGCATGTGCTTTCATAACAGATTAAAGGTGACTGAAAATTGTCTGCCACTCATTGCATGACAGGTGGGATCTATAGACCTCCCTCTTGAATCTAGAAGGATTCCGTGACTGCTGTGACCAATGAATATGGCAGAAGTGATGCTTTGCCAACTTCTGGGTCCAGGCTATACAAGACAGGTAGTTCCACTCACTGCCTCTTAGATCCATGTAAAAAGTTCATATACCTTGCTGGAAAAACCGTGTAGAGAGGCCCTGAGACTACACTGGGTGGGAGAGGGGTTCAGCTGGACCATCTTCCAACTGTTCCCACCAAGATGGCAGAAATATAAATGAAGCCTTCTTGAACTCCAGACCATCCATGCTACAAGTTCAATGCCACCAAGCGACCCCAGTTAATACCACATGGAGCAAAAATATCACCTAACCAAGCACTGCCTGAGTTTCTGACCCCTCCGAATTCTGACCCCATACAAATAAAATAATTTTTGCAATTTTTTTTATAATTTGTCATGTAATAGATAAATGGAACAGCCTTCTTCCACTTTTTAAAATAATAGCTGCAAGAAATCTTATTCAAGCAGAAGGAAATTTCTACTTTGTTCATGCAGTCTCAAGACATCCCTGTAGTCTTTCAAGGGAAATTTAGGCAGAAGTAGGTGGAGAGGTAAAGCTATTATGTAACATTACTTAACATGATTAAAACCACCTTAATGTCTCCCATCCTCAAAGGCTGCCAGTGAAATGGAAGCTAATGTATTAAATGATGACAGAGAAACTAGTATTTGTTGTGCATATGCACTGTGCCAGGTATTTAACATATCTTAGCTCATGTGGTCCTCGAAACAACCCCATATTATAGTAACAGGCTCACACGGGTAACTAACTAGTGCAAAGACACAAGGCTCACAAACTGGTACTTGAACCTAGAGCTGTTTGACTCCAATTCCCATGTACATGCCCCAATACTATGTTCACTCCCAAGGTGTAAATCTTTAGGTATACAAACAACTAAAATGTGAATTTTCATTTATACATAATTTTTGCTTATGATATCTTTTTTGTCACTTGCATAAATAATAAGATATGTAACTTTAAATCAGCAATATTATATTGGCTATCAACCAGTTTCATGTAAATTTTTCTAACAGAATGTAGCATTGAAATGTGTACATTTTTGTCCAAGTACACCTAGCAATTGGAAGGAAAAATCCAAGCCACTTGGATGCTTGATTCTGTGATTTTTTATACACTTCCTTATAATAATTTGTTTTTTCTTTTTAGGTATTGAATTTGCAACTACAAAACCTGATTTTCCTCCCGGTTCTGCCCCTTTCTAGTAATGAGACTTTGGACAAGTTACTTCATTTCCCAGAGCTTTAGTTTCCTCACTAATTAATGGAGGCCAAGAGTTAGTTCCAAGAGTTAGTGTGAGAATTATTAATAAATGAGATAATGTATTTTAAAATATTTTTAAGCTACAAAATAGCATATAACTATATAACAGAGTCCACCTTATTATAGGGTCTAAATATAAATAGGCATTATTTAACCTATAATGTATCTGATAATAATAACCACCCTAGTAGCTACTTTTCATATACTATATATAATTACAAATTGTAACAACCTCATGGGATGTAATTACGCTCAGGCTTAGGAAAGGAAATAATTCACAACAGAGAAGTGTGCAAAAGGAGGAAAAAATAGAAAGAATGAATGAAATAACCTACGTAAGGTCAAATGGCTACTAAGTGGCAGAGCTGGGACTGGAACTCCAAAGTTCAAACTCCTTCCTCTCTACCAAACTATTCCCTACATGCTAACAGGCTAGTTTACAACCTGCTTGAACAGCAGGAAAAAAAGGGAGATTTGATATCTTTCTTCTCACTTTTAGCCCAAACCTCTCTTAGCCTCACCACATAGGGGGGAATCCTTTTTTAGAGGGGTGGCGGGGAGGCAGGGGAGAGAGACAAGGTCTCACTCCCGATGCCC